AGGAGCGAGCGTGAGTGTGTGTCAACAGGACAAATGTCTCCTTCATGCTTGCATTACCTGCCATGCAAATTTGTAAACTATGTATTAAAATTTGTAAAAATATGTGACCTATCAGATTTATAGATTCTATGTATTATGGAAATAAATGTTTGGTTCCCACAAAGATTTACTATTTTACAATATAAATCCTTGGTTCCCACTTCCCCAGATTAATCTTTTTGAAGTCTCTTTACCACTAATGTGAATTTACTTCTTTGATTCTTGATACATCTTTTTCTGCTTAAGAGTTTCTGTATGGGTGTTATAATCACATAAACTATTGGGGATTAATATTATTGCTACAAAATGTCATACCGTTATGAGGTATACATATTTATTCTCTGTGTTGTCCTTCTTTTGATACTTCATAGTTTTGATTGTATTATTTAGCATCATTTCTCGCATGGTAATAAATAGTCATTTCTATTGCCGGAAATCTGCAATCAGTATGAGTGAGTGCAAATGAGACAACTCTCCATGCAAGTCACAATGTATAAAAAGTAAACAATTATAGGTCAAAGTACAGCCTTCAACACGGAGCCTTGGCTCACACCTAACAGCAAGCTATAAAGAGCCCCAAAATGACTACTGTAAAACAATTCAAACAGGCAAACCAACGGTCTAATCTATATAAAAATTGAGAGACGAGAAACACTTATAAACCACACCAACAAACGACAACCACTGAACAACAGGCTCCTGACTTAGGACATGTGTAAACAAATGCAGCGGGTTTAAACGTTTTTAGAGGCACCAACCTTCACCCTAACCTGAAATAGTAGTGTATCTTTACAACATAAAAAGACACACTTTAAAATATCAATTGAAATGGCTTAACACGATCAAAAAGACATATAAACAAAACCAAGTAAACATACACTGAACGAATAAGATTGATCTATGTCACAATATAGATACAATATGAATAAAAAAGATGTAGGAACAATGTCAAAAAGACAACCTGGGACAAAATGGTGTTAAATAAAATAACGTACACAGGTATATGTATATATAATAATTTTGTTGTTTATAATAAGAGTACGGAAACATTTTTTACAAAATGAATAAATTTGTATATATAGTTCACAGTACCAGTACAGAATGAAAATTTATCGTCATACTAAATACTTATCAAAGGTGGTACATATTAAAAACAGTGGGATGAGATACATGTATAACACAAAATAAGTAAACATTGAATAACAGAAATGCATTACAAATTGTGTCAACAGATCAAATTACCAAGAAAGTACGATTTGAGAGTACTCACAGTTACTGAAAGCTAGATAAAAGCCAAAAACAATTAATAATTAAAAACCATGCATCAGAGACTAAAATCAACTAAAACACATCCCAGGGATTTAGTGTTTTAACGCCCTGAACAGTCAAAGAAGACATGACTTGTGCAATGCCAAAATAAAAGTATCCACAGGCAGTAGGATAGTTAGGATTTAACCTTATAATAAATATGTATCATGTTATATATATATACATAAAGCAATCTCTAAATAGAAAATAAACGTGGATGTGTATTTATACATCCCAAAAACTATCCGAAAAGAATACAAATTTAGTTATGTTTTAATTTGTTGATGACAAAATCGATGTTAGTGCCAGGAATAAATCTGCTGTTAAAGGGGCGCAATTAGTGCCCATAGAAATACCTAATACCTGTCGATACACTTTATCGCCGAAACATACATAAATGTTGTCCAGGAGAAAATTTAAAGCTTCAATCATATCTTCACATTTCCAGTTAGAAGCATACTTTCCTTTTTCGTTACAGAAAAAGGCTTTAAACGAGTTACAGCAAATAAATTTGCAATGAAATTTTTTCAAAAGACCATTTAATTAAATATGAAAACTTTTTCTTGATAAGATTGTGTGGAAGTGTAGTGTAGAGAGTAGAAAAATCATAACTGTCAACAGAATTAAAAGGACCATCAAAAGCACGTATTTTATCTAATACCTCTAAAGAATTTTTAACACTCCAAAAATGATTAATACCATTATTTTCATAAACTTTATTACAAAAGTTAATAACAAATTCTTTGATAGTAGTAAGGGAGGTATAGTTCAGAGAAGCACTGAAAGATTAGTAGTAGAACATTTACTAGATGCGGAGATGAAACGAAATTTAAATGGTTGTTTGTGTAATTTTGGTAACCAGTACATAATCGGGACTTTCAAATGTTCGGAAGAGGCTTTAAGCTGGGTTACCGTAGTGGCAGTGATATGCTTGTTTACAATTTGACTCTCTGTGGAGAGTGCCCATTTCTATGAGGCGCCGTTTTACAATTTATTCCTTATTTTCTGATATCAAAAAAGGATTTTCTGATATCAAAAATTCAATTTTTTTATATCAAAAATTCATTTTTTGATACCAGGAAATCGATTTTTTGATATCAGATCTTCGAATTTTTGATTTCAGAAAATATCATTTATTTTTTTATATCAAGAAATAGATTTCCTGATATCAAAAAATGATTTTGTGATATCAAAAAATTCGAATTCCTGATATTTTGATATCAGAAAATAAGAAATAAATAAATGATGGCTCCCTGTGTTTCAATAAAATCATCCAAGCTCACCCATGAGCCCAAACATCAGGAAATATCTGTTTTAATGTTTCCGGTTTTATAATGTGGAGTACCGCTACACAATATTGGTCATTATATTGATGGCAAAGGGTCCCTTGTAACAAAAACAAATTGCTTATACACTTCAAGTTTTATAAACATGATTATACTTCAAAGTCTCCAGAAAACTGCTATTTAATAACAATATTTGAAGCAAAAAAATGTACACTAATCTTCAGTTTGACGAAACTGAACGAGTACTGAATTACCTCGATCCATTAATTACGCAATTCGAGTCCCATGCACTAAAAGACAATATTGAAGATTTTTGAAATTATTCTAAAACATATAACATATTTACTTTTGCGTCGAACAATCCCAATCGGCGGAATTAGTCGACCTAAGAATTTACTAAATACTGGAAAATGTTTTACAAAGCTTGGCACATCGAAACAAAATACTGATGTGTTCAAGATTTAGATACGATGGCTGGATGATATATTCAGGTTCAACTGACGTAATACACGATTTTTTCGCCTTATATATCTAATACAATACATACCCACCTAAATTGTACATACCAATTTTCTCAAAATGAAGTCAGTGTAACTTTCTTGACAGTCGTTTTAATACAAAGACAAACGCTTCCAAAATGAAGGTATTTTAGAAATGAAAACGTCCGGTCTGTGTTTTTGTTAGCTGTTTTTCTTCTTTGTATCGATCTGATGAGTAAAACCTTTATAGTTTGTTCTTACACTATGTTATGATGTAACACCAGTCTCCCAGGTTAGGGTTTAATCCCGCCCCATTCTTTATGTGTCCCAAGTCAGAAGCCTGTAGTTCAGTAATAGTCGTTGGTTCATGTCTGTCATATTTGTTTTTCGTAATATGTTTTGTTATAAATTATGTCGTTAGCTTTCTAAATTGAATTGTTTCATATTTTTCATGTCGGGGCCTTTTATAGCCGACTATGCGGTATTGGGTTTTCTCATTGTTGAAGGCCGTACGGTTGTCTATAATTTCTTACATCCACTTCATTTGAACTTTGGTGGATAGTTGTCTCATTACCACATCTCCTTGTTTTTATACTAATCAGAACTAAATGACTTACTAAATTCGCAACATAAACAACGGGGAAAAAACCTAAAAACAATGATTACCAAAACACTGGGGCCTAATTTCACCAATTCCTAGCTGCACAAATCTGTTTCAGAGGAAACCTATTATTGCTAATAAAGAAGCGAGAACTTACAATTGTTGACTATAAACCTTAAAATAATTAATATATGAGAAACACAAACACACAAAACTTCTTATGACTGATGAAGCCGAACTCTGAGATATTCTTTCCTTAAACACGACCGAAACACCAGACCTAATGTTAGGGCTCATGGGTGAGCTCGGATGCTTTTATTGACACACAGGGAGCAATCATTAACCTTGAATAAATGATGTCTGCAGAAAAAAATATTTATAAGTGTTTACAAAGAGCAATAAATGTGAGTTTTTAAGCTGGACCACGAAATCGATATTACTTAAACTTTTGTTTACAACCTACTGAGACTACTATGTGCTATAGCAGTCTCAGATAGTGTTATATATATATATGACAAAGTAAAAATCGAACTAGCAATTTCGGTGCCATAAATACCTTATTAGGCAAACAATTTTCGTTTTTAGTAAAATTGTATTGAAAAGTTTACTTCTTAAAGGAGTTATTGCTCTTGAATGACCTTGTATTTCAATTATGCCTATTACTGTAAAAAAGAAATTTTGAAGTCAGCATGTTCAGAATCATTAGTCAACCCCTTTTTATTGCCCTTACTTAGGGTTTTTACCCTTTTTTATGGCATTTTGGGTAATACAAATAGTAGCAAAGGAGAAACTTCAAACAGCAAACATGATCGACAAGACGAGACCTACCAATAAGTTACATAGCTGAAATTGTCAGTCGACTCCTCATATGAGTTATTGGTCTTAACGGATAATAAGCTTGTACCCTTTTTTGCATATTTGGCAAAACAAGTAGTATTGAGAAACTGTAGACAAACAACAAAACAGATATGCAAAAAAGAGAATTTTATTCGTGAATCATATTTCCAGTCATAATTTTGGAGCCTGGAGTGGCCATTGTTGAAGATGCACATAGACCCAGATGGTTGACACAGCCCCTTAAGAGCCTCTTAGTTTCTTTTTCCTTTCTTTTTTTTTGTGCCTTTATATTGACGCAACGTTAATATGGGATAAGTTTGATTTTCAGAAATTCCATTATTAAACGTGATCTATGCACTAATGAGTCACTCAACGGGAAGTAAATAATATTTAAAGGCCAATTTAATAATATATGCTATCTATTTTTGTATGTTTCTTCCTTATATGTTCATTGTATTTTGTCTGTCACCTTCTTGAACTTCCCTTTTCAAAATATCTTAAAACTGATATTACTTGTGTGCCTGTGTATGTGAAGAATGAAGGGGTTTGCCGTTTTCTGCTCGCTCGCTTCCCTGGTCTTTGTTTGGTCAACGTCATGTGCAGCTGAAGGTAAAGAATGAATAATATACTATTTTGTGCTATTTATAGCTGTGTTTTCTCTCTTGTTTGCGTCCGCTCTCATGTAGGTTTTTAATGATCTGAGACAAAAAGAAAAGTGATAAATTATTATTATGGGGGACATTTGAACTTTAGTCAAATGCATATCACAGATCATTAAGTTTAGTACCAAATAGAAATTTCTATCCTTAACGTAGTTTTTTGGGGGACATTATTTAACAAGAATGATTGTTTTATTTTAAAATATCGTAAATGGTTCTGCGGAAACCTGGGTCTCGTCTGTATTTGCTGCTGTCACAGCAGAACCGTGGGTCTCGCCTACGATCACTGCCGTCAGTTTAATGGTGTAATGTTGACTGCCAAAAACAATGTACAACTATCAGTTGAAAACGGGAAAATGCTATGTCGGTGTCTTTTCTGACCATCCCTCAGGGGCATGTTGCAAAAATACTTTTTGTTTTATAAATATTTGACCAAGTATCATTCAATTTACAACAGAAACATATAAAACTTGAAATTTAAAGATTAAACTATCAAAAAATGTAGTGTCGTTAAGTGTATTTAAAACTTTCAGAAAAAAATCCTTTTGAAATCAAAGGCAGAAAAATATACTTAATTTATTTGTTAGGACACTGAATTTGGTTTTTTTTTTTTTTTTTTTGAGGGGGGGGGGGGGTCAAGAAAATAAGGTCCGTGACCCCCTATTTTTATTCAATATTTCGGTTCGGAAGTATTTATGAAAAGGAATTATCTCATTGAATTTTAACTAATTCTATCGTTTAATGTTTCATCAATAAGGAAAAACTAGGTTTTCCCTATACATGTATAACCCATATAAAATAACTGAGATTTCGTTGATTTCAATGTATTTTAACGAAAAAACAAAATTCGTGACCCCCAGTTTTTATATTGAAATGTGAAAGTAAATTGATCCAGAAGTTTAAGATTAATCCATCGTGGAACATTTAGACACCCCAGCTACCGGCTAAAGAAGTTTCAATTTAAGTTTCGTAACATTCAGTGAATGTTTGACAAAGTTATATCAAGTGTCTAAATTAACAACAGATTGAAAGTAACTGTTAACTGCAAAACAAATTGAAGTCCGTAAAATGCGGAAAAAGACAAAAAATATATTTTACAAATTTTGCTTCGTTGTTAGTTCTTAATCATAAAAAGCTTCTGTCCAAGTTTCGTGAAATTGCGTGACAAAATTATTGATGACATTGTATAAAACTTTATCTATTAAAATAATAATCGCTATGTCTCGCTTCCGCAATTTTCGTGGCAGACGAGACAAAATTGCGTAAGATATGATTAGTTAATGGATTTGCTTTTATTTTTTTGTTTGTTTTTCATATTAGTTTTGAAACTTCGTTTATTTGTCAAAAATGATAAATAAACACATGTTGTCCGTCAAAAGCTATTAGAAAAAAATGTTGCCTACATGTTGTTCCGAAAATAATATATATACAACCCTAGATGAACCAGATGAGGAACGGCTCCTTTCAAATAACGAAAGCTATGATTTTATATATATTGTATAATTGACAGAGTGGCTTAGTTGGATCATGGAAGTATTATATTGACATATCAATATAATACTTCCATGGTTGGACACAGTGCAGTAACGAAGAAACAGTGTAATGGGTTCAAATCCCACTGAAGGGAGGACACACATTTTGCAATAGATCAAACATAGTTGGGATAACTATAAGACCCTGTATAACCCTAGACTATCGGACGAAGATTGTCTGTCGCAGAGTTGTCAATATTTGTGCTAATATATAATGTATTACGAGACAAAAAGAAAAAAAAATATTAGACTCATGAACCAAGAACACTGTGTAGAAGATCTAAAAGTTGCTATCACACAAATAAAGGTCAATATATATTTGTGGTTATAGCATTTCATAAACAATATATGACTTTTGAAATTGTTTAGTTTTATTAATACAACTTTTTTTTTAAATTTGAAGGGAATGCCTCGGAAAGTACCTTGGACAGTGTTTTACCGGGTAAGTAAATTTCGAGCAAGTCATGAAAACGTAACAACTTCTGTTAACACAATAAACCTATTAGGAGATAACTTTTATGGCTTTTGGTCGAAAAATTTACAGTATGTCTTCATTTTATATAACGCACCATTGGCTAAATTATACCACGTTGCCGACTGATATAGGAATGTTGATATTGTAATCGGTTCCCATTTTGAAGCACGTGGTTTTATCGATATCAAATATTATAGGTAAATCTACCTGTACGTCCGATATTGTAAGCTCGATACATTATCTCATAATTATCACATTATTTTCTTTAACGCTATATTAATTTATGTTCCCTGTATTCATAAAAATGAACGTATATCTTGTACATTTTAAGCGATAGGAGAGCAAATTACATGCCACCTTTTGTAAAGAAGAAGGACAAAAGATAACCAATCTTCTGTTAAAAGTGCTCTCTTATGGAAACGATTTGTCAACAATCTGCAAGAGATTCATTCGCAATTTTTTTGTGATGCGTGAAGCAAAACTCATTTTTACAAACAGAAAATTCACAGTCAACATTTTTTTTGCCTGTTTTTAATGCAAAAATTAAAGCAAATTAAGTTTTTACACAAGAACGATGGAAGATTGTTATATTTTCTGACAAAAAAAAGAATAGTAGCAGTGAGAAGGATCACAATTAGTCAAGATATGCCTTTATAATCAAATATGGACGTGGTTGCATTCTTCCGTTTCCTTTTGATAGGAGGACTAAATGGAAAAATTTTAAACGGTTTACCAACTATTTGGTCTTCTCAATAGTGTTGATAGTGAATATTGAACAAATACCGTGTTTCTTGTGTTTAAAATACGTGTATACTTAAAACTCTTCATTTGTAGAAAATTTGAAAGACCACACATTTAATGTGTTGCAATTTGAGCCCAGACCTGTTACAGGCACTTGTCGTTGTGTGAATGCTTCATGTGGATGTTGTCAGACATTGTCCATTGCAAAATTACATATAAAGAAAGAAGGTAAGAATTAGCTGGGACTATTATACTAAATAATATCAATATATTATGTCCCAGGAATTAGCAAGGGGATGGATCACATTTACACATACAATGATGCAGATGATTACTTTACCGGGTGTCTGTAATAACATAAACGGTACCAATGTTTCCGCACTGGATGCGCATTTCGACAATCAATGTCTCTTCAGTGATGCTCGAGGCCAAAATATTTGAAAATCCAAAGCTTATAATATATGAGCCCTTTGGACAGTTACGGTTAATAAACAATTACGGAGTCCTGGACTTTTGCCTGACATTAATAATCACATCAATTTGTCTGCTTTACGTTGCACCAACACATTAATGGCACAAGAGCAATTTATAAAAAAGACTTTTTAGGAACGTAGAAAAATCTTTTCCATTGTGAAAAAATTGTTGTATAAAACAAAAACAAAAACATGAAAAATAAATCTGCCATCTCAATTACACAAAACAAAAATCTGTGTATATCTTCAAAATCAATAATAAATAAACAATAAATAATATTTTTCGGAGACCTATGTGACCCGATATGTTACTTCCTGGGCATCTATGGATATTGCCATTTCGTAAAACTAATCTTTGAAGGATTTGTTTTTGTTTACCTTTAATAAGGCAAAAATTATGACACCCCCTACAATGCACTTGCTGTTGATTGGCATTAAACAACATATGCTGCATCTCGGGCCACTCACTTTTCACCCTTATCAATTATTTATATATTGCCAACCTATTTATGTTATCCTGAATATATATGAAACAAAGGACTTAGCAATATCTTTGATTTTATAATTATTTGCAGTTTTTCCGATTAGATGCTCTTACACCACTGTCCTATGTTAGGGGAGGGTTGAATCCCCTTTTTTAAGAGGCAGCCGATTTTCTCCATTCATCCCAGTCGACCTAATTCGTAGAATTTTTATTAAATGATTTGTACGCACATATCCAATTAATTGAATTATCATGCAGACCTGAATACTATTGTAGAAGAAAATTTGAAAAAAAATATTTAAGATTGTACATATTATTTTGAAAATTGCTTTGAATGCCTTAAGCTTACCTGATAAAAGTTTTCCACCAAGATCATAATTATTACCACTGAGTTGGTACCGTTCTACAACGATTTAAATGATACATTTTATTTGTGCATTTCCAGTTCGCAGATTATGCATAAAAAAATGAAAACAGCACGTAATAAATTTGCATGCGTCTGAAGCGCTTTTCTGGATTTGTCCTCATCAGGAACGCTCAAAGACGAATATTTGAAAGCCAAGGATGTATAAGTAACGAAACAATTGATCAGAAGAGCTATATAACCAAAAGGACCACAAAAAAAAAAAAATTAGCCGAATCCATCTGAGGTCAACTTTGCCTGAGGGAGTTGAAACCTTAGTTTATGTATAAAGTTTCCCTTCTCTCAGTAAACATATAGAAGAAATGTGAGGTCATGAATATAAGATAGCAAACAAACGGCACGAAAACGAGAAATAAAGGGATCTAACGGCGAATTTGCAGTATTCAATTATAATGGACCAATGTCTACAAAATATTATAAGTTCTTAATCCCCCCTGAGTCTTGAAGGGTTGTGAATAAATTAAACAGAGCGTATCACAGATCTGAAATTAAGACCAACTTCTCTAAAAGGAAAAAAAAGCAACATAAAGTTGTACATGTAGCTCCGGAAGATTTGTTTCTGACTTTGGAGACAAGATCGTGCAATATATATAAATTTCTTTATTGTGTTATATTTGTTGGTTCTCCACATTTTTTAGCTCTCCAATTTTTTAGTGCGGTACATACTTTAAGACCTATGAAATACCATCCGCCCAGTAGCTGGTGATTTAGTAGACATGAATGATTTTACATTTTGTCTGTAAATTTCCAACTTATAGATAATGTAATTGTAATTTAAGTTGCAACTCCTTTAGGAAGATATATTTATCAATTGATATTTTGGTTGTTCAGTTAGTTCCTTTAGCTTTTATCATATAAATGTGTTATATATTTGGCTTCACAAAAAAATTGGTCTAGAACGAATATTATGAAGATCTTCCAGTAAAAGAAATACTTGCCGTGCTTACTGAAATGAGTGCCATGTGTCTATTTTTACAATTTCACAATAATTCTCCTGTAATTCATTTCAGTTTGTATCAACGTTAAGTATCTGAAGAAAGAGATTGGATTTCTTTTGACCGTCACTTTGGATGGAAAACCAATACTAAAGAAAGAGGTGTCAGGTAAGTCTATCAATCGTTTATGTATCTATCTGTCTTAGATTATTTATAGGATCTATCAAGCTTATGTAGTATAACTATTTTAGAAAAAATAAAAAATTGACCGAAACCATAATACTAATGTAACAACTTTTTTTCCTATGAATTTATATTAATGTTTTATTTTTACTTTAAACAGTCCAAAATCCACCACCGATCTGCCTCAAAGTTCCTCTCGTGAAGAAGCTAAAGAAACTTGCAAGTATATGTATAGAGTTTTCCGAAGTTCATGTTGGGAAGGATGGCTTATCTGGATGTTCTGAGCTTACTGTACACTTTGTTTTCATCAAAGTGGTAAAGTTAAAGTTGGGCTGCTTCAAAATTCCATTCTCTGAATACGAATTGAATATGATTCACCAGCAAGGAGTTGAATATTTGCTACCAGGTATCGTCCAGCCAGATGGATCGAAAACTGAGAATAGGGATTTTCCCAACAGTATTTTTTTGCAGAATAATGATGAATGGAACAAGAAGTTATATGAAAGAAAGTCTGATTTCAACAGTTAGTAATATATACATGCACATTCATTGTTTTATTTACAATATCATAAAAATGTGATAACTTCTTAGTGGAGGGCCATTTGATTTAAGGAGAGGGTTGGAAAGGCTTGGAAGATTTTGCGATGAAAGGACACTTTTGTTGATATCAGATTTTTATTCACTGATTGTCCAAACGTATTGCAATTTCAAATATGCAATTTCGACGACAGTTTGTCATTTACAAATATGTTCTTGTTAAATTAAAGTTTATATAGCATCTCCTTTTATTCAATCTATCTATAAAACAATTTCATTTTTAGTAAATACCTAAGTCCAAATTTCATTTAAGTTTAAACTAACAGATAAATTTCAGAAATGACTTTTTAAACAGTCAAACAACTTTTATCAGAAATGTTTCCTTGTTCTACATTATCACGTATGCAGATGTTTTTGATAAACAACAGGACATTAGTCATTAAATGGACTATAATAAGACATACAATATGTGATAACTTCCTATTTGCACCATACTGCAATTGACTAAGGAAGTATAGGGATTTCCTTTTTAAGAGCATTTATTTAATATAAAGTCTGGGAACAGAGTTAGCAAACTCAGTTAAAGGTATAGGTCGAACGATGAAGAACTTGGCTGTTCTTTGTGTCACTATATCATTGTTGGTGGATGTATCCTATGGTTTAGGTTTGTTCAAATTCATTTATTTAATAGATACATAAAATGACAACTTGAAACATCATTTGAAACCTTAGTTATGTTATCTACGGAAAACTAAATAGTACGTATTTTTTTCTCTGTTTTCTTTTTGCACAAGTCTTATATTCAGTGTGCATAAAAAAGAAAAAAAAAGGAATATCCATGTACAAATTTTTTTAAAACGGTATCAGATAGAATTTAGGATCGTGTAACAACAAGTAGGAAAAAAAAACCATGGTTGATGTGTTATTTCATGAAATACTTAGTCCTTGAACTTTATCTCTAACAGATCGAAAGGCCTTTACATATGTATTGATTCATAATTTTTTTTTTTAAAGTTTTACCAAAGGATCAGCCAGCAGAAAAAATACCTATTGGTGACGAAATATCTTTTGGTGATGAAATAGTAGCCACAGAAGATGGATGCCATTGCACCGGGGAAACTTGTAATTGTTGCAAAACGGTGTCCCTGAAATTCCTTTCATTGACAAAACAAGGTACCTAATATTTTCCCCTTAGCAGTATAAACAAACTCTAAATATTAAAAAGCTTAAATAAGTGAGCAAACAGTTTTTAGTACTTAGACGTCAGAATCAATACAAAAATTCAGTTCAAGATAGTAGTCGAAAAAACTAAGGATTAGAAAAATATATTTGAACTTCAAGCATATAATCTTATAAGAAACAAAAAAGGGTTTTTTGAAGATTTACTGACGATTATAGAAATATAAACATTCCAAAACCAAATACACATGCGCGAACAAAAAAAAAAACTTACACAGTTTCCTGAGGAAGGAAAAAATTATAAGATCCGATAAGATCAAACTACATCTTCATTTCAAACGACTAACGTTTGAATACTAAATTTTGCAAAATGTAATGCGTATGAAAATTACAATTATCGAAAATCTTCCACACAAGGAAGTGACTAAGATATAATATCATTACTTTTGAACTTATATACAATTATTGATAATCTTGTTCTCTCTTTAGTATGTGTCAACCTTGTATTTGACCAGCAGGGTCTGGGATTTGAACTCCAGCTTTCGATTGACGGAAAGGTAATCCTTCATCAAAAAGTTGAAGGTGAGATATAATGCTATTAATAATTTGCATATACTTTTTATTCGAAAAGTAAAAGACATATGAGAAGGTGTTACCTATGAAAGAGTACAAAATCCGTATGTGCAAATGTTGTAAAAATATTACGATTATTGATTTACTCTTTATTGATTTTTCTTTTTTATTGATTTTCTTATTGTTTTCGAGAACTTCGTGTTCATAATTTCTATTTGCTTTAGTAGGGTTGAAAAGATAATGTGAAGGAATTCGATGTTTGGTATTCAACGGTTCGCTTAAATGCACTTTATGACAATACAACTGAATGATATGCATCTGTGTAGTAATTGTTGATATATTAACGCTTTAATATTATTTCACTTTTACCTGTTTATCTGTTGTTCCTGCGTGTATTATGTCAGTGTGAAATTTAATCATGTAACAATTATTGTTAACAAAAACAGGGATGACAACTCTGAAGTTCAAAAAAATTTAAGAAATAATAAAATTCCATTTGTATGTCCATAAATAAATGTTATCGTTATGATTTTGTCTTTTCTGTCCTCCTTCTGTGCTAAATCTACAACAATGTATAAGTCGAAAATATTTACTCAATGATAATCGATACAAATATGCTAAAACTTAAAATGTCATAATTTAATTCTGTTTAAAATTTCTATTCTGAAAAATCTAACCTTTAGAATATAATTTTATCTTCAAAACGGAAAACATGTTATCTGATTCAGGTTATTTTGCATTTTTGATGTGTACAGTAATTTGATTTGCTAGTTCTTTTCATAATACAGAGAATTGTACAAGCACTCCTCAGAAAAAAAGTATTTTTGAGTCTTATTTTACTGTTATCGTTCAAATTCAACCCACACGAAAGTAGTGATCAAATGAAGTCAAACTTTGACTGATCTGCCTATTTTTTAACATTAAAAGTCAATTTGATCATTTTAAGTCCATATTCGTCTACCTCACAAAATATTGTCAGGCACTGTAGCAATGTTTGCTGCTTAATTCAAACTTTTGTATATATGATTTGAATTATCTTGTTTTGGATTTAGAAAAAGTGACCGTTAAGTTTTCCTTTGTTGGTAGCTATAAGCAAACACAACGGGCCATGTACAGAGGGAAGGGGACAGTCAACACCAATTCTTTATAAGCTCCAATTATTAGGAACTGTGGAAGACTGGAGTATAAACTTGTGCACCTTGCTGATAGTGTGTCAATTGAAACAAAATTCAACATGGACCAACAACCTTATATAAATTAGAAGCAACAATACTTTAGCGATGTTTAAATTCATAATATTTTTCCAATCGGAACATAGAAATCAAGGTAAAAACAAGATCTGATCGAATCAAAAAGGAACGAGACCTGACCTGGCCTGGTATCTCCACGGGGAAAGCTTCTCTGGCTTTGCATGCATCTTTAAACAAGGTTATTTTGATATTGAAGGAACGCCCACTGCATTGTATTCTCAATCTGTACTGCTGCTGTTTTTTTTTCAAATCAAAATTTGCTTTTCAGCAAAGAATCCATCACCTGTTTGTATCAATATTCCCTTGCATGGAATGGAAGTCAAAGCTTGTATTGAATTCACGAACTTGAAAGTGAGCAGTAGTGGCATGTCTGGGTGTCTGGATCTTAGCGCAAAGATCAAGCGAGAATACAAGTTCCAACTTGGATGCTTCAAAATTCCTCCTTCAGGTATGAAAATAAAAACCGTTTCTTTAATATTTAAATATTTATCAAAACTATCAAAGAGCTGGCATGTCTTGAATCTTGAGATTACACTCAGTGTGTTTAGAAAAAATGGCCGGGTTCAAGAGTTATTTTAGGGTGCTCGCGTAAGATTAAAGATGTTTTGAGTCGATTACAATTACATTGTTGCTAATATTTCTAATCTAGAACGATCTTTTTTTCAACGACACTTCGTCAATGGAAACATGTAAAAATCAACTTGAATCGTTTGCAATCGATACATGCTAGGTATGAATATGGTCTGGTGTCTTTTCAATATACTAACTAGCATGAAGAGACACTAGGAAAGTTCCAAAGAGGCTGTGCATCATGCAAATAAAATCTGAAGAATCTGATTGATGATATATAAAAGACTAAGAAGACTTCAGAACTTAAACGATTTGCAAACACACATGTAAGCAACTAAAATTTAAGTTTGAACAATAACAATATTATCATATAAGCACTCAAAAGGGTATGACATGATTAGAGTTTCTGTTTCGGAGGCCATTGTGGTTAAAATTTACTAGTACTAAGGATCTTATTTCTTTCCTGAATAGATCATTCCCTTAGCGACCTATTATCTGAAAGTGGGGTTATTGATACAACAGGGGATGGATGCACGTGTTCTGCTAATGGTTGCAACTGTTGCAAGACGGTGACGATGAAAGGAATCACAAAGACAGGTATGTGCTAAAAATTAAAGGAAAACAGAAATGGTGGAGGATGAAAAGTATATATTCTACAGTTGTTTAACTAACCACTACAAGTGTTCCTAGGTGGAATATAATAGTTTCCTTTCATATCAAACAATTAAAACAGGAGTATTCCACCTCTAATTTTCATATTTGTTTTTATTCAATGTGATGTTTTTTTTATTCATTTCTGTTTTTGCATTTTTATATTAGGACTTGGTTTATGCAAGACATTATGCATTATTGAAGGATATATAGATCGTTACATTTGTATACGCCCGTTTATAACAGGACGTATTATGGTATATCATTGTTCGTCCGTCTATCCCTCCGTCCATCCTTCCATCCGAACGTTTCGGGACTTTAACAGTTAGATTTAATGCATTTTGTTTACATATCGCGCACTAACTCCAGTATTCCCGTATTGATTTCCTAAAAAAAACTACACTGTTGTTGGGATTTATAGAAGGGAACTCCGTTTCGATTTTTTTTTATCAATTTTCCGGTTTGTTGTTCCAAAATGTACCACATAGTGTACAATAACTTGAGTTTGCTTGGATAGGTTACTTAAAACTTCACACAGTCGTTGATATCGATGAACATAACTGACCTTTCGAAATTTGATATGTCAGTCCAAAGTTATGGGAATTTGACCGTCAGATTAAACGGAATGCATCTTAAATATCAGGTTCTAGTATGCTAGGATCAAATTACTACAAACCTAACAACTATTTTTAGGATTGGTAATTAGAGATTTGTTTTGATTTTGAAAATTTTCTTGTTTGTATTTCAAGAGTTATTGGACTTTTTACAGTCAAATTTGACACAATATTTATACACCTAAGGCATGCATGTTTTTTTCTGAAGAGCCATTTTATTTGTTTCTGATTAAATGCCTTCTTGATATCCCGTTTTATTCTTGTTACAATTTCAGTATGAACAATAAGGGAGTATTGTGAGCTTTTGGTACACATTCTTATTAGACTTACGCAAGCTGTCTTTAGTGGCGGCGTCAACAATTTATTAAAGTTTGTGATTACTATTAAAATAAGAAAATGTGGTATTATTGCCAATGAGACAACTATAAGTCAGTTTGAGGGGAACCATTGGTGGTGATACATCTCATTGCTATTATTGAGATTATTTGACCCTTCCACCTCAGTCATGATCTATTGACTTTATAACTTTTGCTTAGTTTAAATGTTAAAGTTTTTTTATAAGGTCAGATTCAAAGAAACCACTAATGGTAAGTCAATGATGTTTGGTATGTAGTTGTATTGGCATTAGCACATTTTATTTCCATGATATTTTGTATGCTTTTGTATAAGCATTGGTACATCTCATTTACATCTCATTTACAGGGAAATTATTGGCCCCGCTCCCTCAGTCATAGTTTATTGCCTTTTGAACGTTTGTATGGTTAACACGACAAAGTGTGTAATAATGTCAGTTTAAGGGGAACCAATTATGATGAATCAATGATATTAAGAATGCAGTTGTAAAAGCATTTGCACATCTCATTTCAACTTACATTAATGCCCTGCACCTTCAGTTATGGTTTATTGACTTTGAATGTTTTGCATATTTTACATTAAAGAATTGCCATTTTAATTTCACCATGTGCGATTTACTATCAAAATAACATACAGGCGAGACGTATGTCAATGCCAGCAGTTTATTTATAATATTATTGACATATTATTGGTTGAACTAAAAAGATATAAGCTTTGGTAAACGACGAATTTCGACTTGGAATAGAAGCTATTAGAAAGTCACTGCCTGAACCCATGACTTTATAAAGTTTTACTTGATGCAAATTATTCATTTATTTAGGAAATATCGATGTGTCACTAAAGGGGTTATAATTGGATACAGATACTCCTTGTTAGTTTTTGAATTTTGAATTATGGTTATTTCAAGGATTATACAAATACTTATTTATGTTAATTTCATAATTAATCTAAAGATCTGTTTAGTAAGTAGTTTAATCTTAACTTACTGCTATCGAAAGCTATGCATTTCTGTACATGGAAGTAATAAATTTTTTTCCTAGTTTGTAACATTACTTCAAATTGCAGCGATCCAATTCAATCATTTCTTGTTTATTATTCAATTTATTCAAATATAGCTAGTTTATTTACAAAGTCAAAACAGGTATTCGGAAATGACTTTAATTAATTATCCTAATCATTCTACTTATATTCATTTTTAAATCATATTTACTGTGAAGACTTTGTAAATTTCAAACGCGAAGAAAACAAGTGACGTAACAAATTTTGTAAGCAGTTTTCACTTCCTTACAAAATTATTGAGTTAATTCGATGTAAAGACACATATCTGCGATACTTTCATGCTTCTCTTTCTTTTCAGTGTGTATTAATCTGATTTACAAAGGCTTGGAAATCGACGTTAAACTCCAAGTTGACGGAAAAGTTTATTTTACCAAGGAATTCGAAGGTACAAATGTATTTTGATGTAAATAGTTGGTGTCAATTTGTTTTGAATTATCTAGTTTTCGATATTTTTAAGGATTGTCAAAAAGACTAATACAGCTTATTCAGTTATATGATTTTCTTAGTTACGAGATTCCCTCTTAAGCGATTAAGATTGGGTGTTTCATATTTGCAGTTGTTGAAAGTGCTCAACAACACTATTCTTCGATGAAAAAGAGACAGAAGGACAAACTAACAGCGCGACGACAAAATCCAACGAAAAGACGAACAAAACACTTTATAGAAAACTAAATATTGAGCAACACAAAGCCGTACAAAACCGGGGGTGAACCGGTGTTCCCGAAGGTTAAGTTGTTTCTGCTCCACATGTGGCACCTATCGTGTTGTTCATTCAAATATAAATCCGCTGATCAGTCTCATATCGTACACTAATGTCATAATCGAGGAAAGGAGGGCGGGATTGTGGTTACGACAATTGAAACACAATGGGGCCATATGCGATAAAGATATTCCTAAACAGTGAACCAACTTGTGAAGGCGTCAGTAAAACTTTTTTAGGGATGTTCGATGACCTATGGTAATAAGCTTATCAATGAAAAAAACCCAGTAAACAGGAATTTTAAAATTCCATGAGTGGCTTCAGATAAACTGAAAATATTAATTATCTGTCACATGCAGGTAACCTTCCGACCAGTTCTGAAAAAAACACGACTTAACAGAACATCCAAAGTTATTTTGCGTGATGTTTTATCATATACTTGTGTGGCGAAAGGTGAGGTTCGAAAACTTCCCTATCTAATACAAATTTTGGTGGAATAACGTTTAAACTGCCACCTTGTTTGCATTCGTATCAATAGCGCTGTAACTATATGAGCTGTCTATATTGACACTTCTATCCAAAGATTTCAATAGGTACATGTGTGAACTCGATTGAAAATATACAAAGCGTATAAACGCATGCAAAAAAAACAGCAACAGTTTTTTATGTAATTTTCTAATGAAATGTTGAAATGAATATCTATTATTGAATTTCACTTCAGTTTAAAAAGTAAAATAATGATACAGTTGAGTCATATTCATCAAATTTAAATGATATAAAATCGTATCTTTTCAATATTTCAAACCATCCGTACCTTAGATGACTACTAGAATATGTATGATCCAAAATATAACAGGACTTTGAATTTCTTAAGTAACTTTCGACAGCAGTATAACTGGACAAGACCCTATACAAGAATTATGATCATTAAATAATTTTATTCATGTCACATATAACTTATCTAACAACCTTGAATAATATAGTAGTGTTGATCACCATGCTTGATCATTTTATGGTGCTTCACGGTAGTTATTCTGCTTTAACAATTAATCCGTATTTAACTACGTGTTATTGCGTTACAATCGCATATTTATATATATTATAATTTAGAATATGTAAACAATCCGTCTTTCTGTCTGTCTTTTTATAATTATTAATTACTTTGCCGTTTGCTTAGATGATGGAGCCAAAGTTCGATTATGTGATATCAATTGAGTAACATGCATATTTGATGTCTCGAATTTAAGTTTTGTCTTTTGTATCAAAAGAAGTTTAGTATAGAAATGCAAATGCTATGGAAAGTGACTTAGAGGATTATGATGCATTGTTATAATTTTGTGAATACAAGGATACTTATATAGAATAATTTAATTACAAGATTTATAAATGACCTTATCTACGAAATAACAACACTTATCTATGTTAAAAAAGTCTTTGTTAGATTTATCGGATTTATTTATAATCAAACACATTTATTTCTCAATTTTATTTTATTTGTTTTAGTAAAGAGTCCACCACCAAACATGTGTACAACCATTAACATCAAAGGCACATCTGTTAAGGTTTGTGTTCAGCTGACTGAATTCAAGGTCGAAAGCAAAGACGTGTCTGGATGTGTTGGTGCTTCCGCTTCAGCATTTGGTCAACATTACAACATTAAACTCGGATGCTTCAAGATGTCACCTGCTCAGTACAGAATATTCAAATCATCTTACATCTTTGAAAGTGAAATAGATTATGCAAAATGAGAGTTCCTGTCTTTAATCACACATTCATGTTTTTCTCAATGTTGCAAAGGAATGAATTACAATACAGTGAAACATGCCAACAACAAATGAGTATATCGGTTTTGCTTCAGTATAATTTGAAAAAATACGTTACATATTAAACACTTTGTTTACAACTCCAGAATTATATGGTAGTAATTTTTAATTTTAGTTTTGATATATTTTGGAAAGATGACTGAAATCGTAAATTTAGAGAATAATATTTCAGTTTATTATAATTTTGGTCCTATCGTGACTCAGTCTAGGAGAAGATGATATTACAATGAAATCTATCTCAAAATAACACAAAAATATCAAATACTGAAGGAGAATACATGTATTGCTTGTATCATTTATCTTTGCTGAACCAAATCTTTGAAGTAAATACTGGGTGCTAATTGATGAATGTTAATTTTTGAATAAATACATCCGTTTAAACACAAAATAAAATTGTAAAATCTTCAGTAATATCAAGTAAATTTTTTAAATGAAAAAACCCAAATACCCAGTTTTTGTACATTTTTGAAAACTAATAACATTAATGAATTTGAATATAATTTCTCCCATCCGTAAAAGAAACAAGAAAAAGGACCTTAAGTTTAAGAAAAGCTATTGTAGTGATTTTGGAGACTAAAATAAGGCAGTTGCTAATATTTTTAATAATTCAAGATAATGAGTTTTACAATTTTATCATCTATGGAAATTGATATGAATATGTATGATTTCCTAAGGATAATTTATTTTGATAATTGCATTATCTTCAATTATCTAGCACTTATTTCTTTTAAAAGCAGGCATTAAACTGGGAAATACAGACTGGCAGATTTGTTTAAAATTTTCCTTTTCAACTTGCATGGATTTTTTCATTATATATTTTGTTTGTACATTTTACTTTGTATTGCTATTTCTTTGTTTGTTTGCAATAAATATTCAATTTCTTATCCTCAAACGTTAACGACATTTTCACTGTTGTATTTGATGAGCATCCTGGAAACCAAAACATTTATGCACGTCTAAGCCCATTTCATGACATTACGAGTATGAATTCCTACAAAGATAATTAGTTCTTTAATCACAGATTTAATACGCCAAAACACTCCATCTGAATAAACTTTATACTGTACGGTACGACGTAACTAAATTGTTTACACAATACCATGTGAATAATGGATATAGACATAGTACGAAGATTCTATAAAAAGTATTAGAACAATATTTAAGATTTGTCTAGAGTACCATTAAACATTAGATGCTGTTACGTCAAAGTACAAAAATTTCCCCCACAGTTTCAATAGAAGCACTACGAGGTACTATGCCATCGTTTTAAATTGAAAATTCTTGATTGATATGTTGTTTCCTTTATGTCCAGTGTCAAATATTGAATGCATATCAAGGATGAAAAGATGGTCGAAACAATTGAAGGACGTGAGATTTGGATAGATGCTGGAAAAAATGTATTTTGGTACAGGAAGAAAATTCAGATTTTCAACCGGTCAGTAACGATCCTTTAAAATGTTATAAGAATGTTCTCAAAATGTCAAGGGACAGTAAATAGGAAATGTCAACGATTTATTAATTTGTGCATACATATTTGGCTCGTTGAACTTTAACTAAAAATCGAAAAAAAATGCATTTATCTCTTTTATTTCCCACAAAACGTCGAAATAAGCGTAACGTCATCGCGTTATCAGCTGTTAAAATTCGATGTTTGACGTTTTCAAAACCTACTAGGTAACAGATAAGTTAATACACAAAAACGAAGTCGGTTACTCTATGATTATTTTATATTAATCAGACGAAAACATATCATTGATTTGATATTTAGAATTGGTTATTTTCGTGGTATGAACCTTCTCCTTTATCCATCAACAACATATCAATTTTTTTTGGAGATTTTATTACTTCAAGATAAATTTAGGAACGTTTTTCACCGATTTATGTGCTATCTGTACACATGCTCACCTGTTTTGAAAACATTCATTCAGTAGAATTACAGAAAATAAAAGAGATCAATGCACTAATTTTTCGATTTTCAGTTAAAGTTTCACTAGCTAAAGTTGAATGCAATATTTACCAAAATTTGGTTCATAGCCCATTTACTGTACCTTGACCGTAAGTACAAATAGCACGACACTCTACTGTTAAGAGCTATGAGATGAATTTCTCCATAACATCCGGACCTGATTACATTTTTCAACATTCTTATATAGACAAACTGTCTACTTCAACAGGAATCTCGTTGTATCATATTCATATTCTAGTCAACTATTCGTGTCAACAAACAATTACTACAAAAAAGACTAACATTAAAACTAACCCTACCATTTTTTCTGCATTAGATGAAAATCCTAAATTTATTAAACAATGAAGATCCTATAAACGAAAAATGACAAAAAGTATAGCCAAAGCCGGACAAGGAGTCAGAGCTTTGCATGAGGGAGATAACAACATATGAATTAAACAGTTTGGCTTGGTTTGCACATACAATTGGTATACTACTTTTCAACAACCTCCACAGCACCAGTTTTGTTTCATTAGTCAATATAATCTGCAAGGAATACCAACTGATAATATGATCACAAACTTTACAAAAAAAAAAGAAATACAATAAAAATAACAAAGGATGTATTTGGATAATGTATTCGTTTGAAAACAGGACAACATGGTCAGGAAAACCGATATAAGATTGTATGGCGTTATGATTCATATCAGAAGTATAGTTTAAGGGGTTATAATCTAATCAATTCAATCGTATCATGGATAAGGAAAGTCTGTGAAAAAAAATCAGCAATAAGATGTTTAGATTGATTTAAAAAAATGTATAACAAAAATACTGAAGACCAAGGTAAATTAAAAAAGAAGAAGCCTATTACATAAAAACTAACAAAATCAAACGTCATCAAACAACGGAACGACTGTAAAACAACCGTCATATTCCTGACTTGGTACAGGTATTTTCCGAAGAAAATGGTGGGTAAAAACCTGGTTTCATAGCTAGCTTATCCACACATTTGTATGCCAGTTGTTAATAGTTCTGTGATATTAAGAAAAGTGGGCGAGCAACCTTAAGACATAATACTAGTAGGTTATTGTGACAATAATTGGGACCCAGCAGCCAAAACTTTGTAAACATACATCACAGACATACAACACAACTGACTAAAAAATTCAAACCAACATACAAATAAAATGAAATTAACTCAATTAGAATTCTTTATTTCATTTTGTAGCCTTGCAAAAGTATCACCAGCCCGATTGTCACATCATTGATATGTTAATTTTCTACCGTTTACAAAAGGTTGAATTATTCCAGGTATAGATTATCCGTATTTATCACAACTTTTCGGAATTTACAGTTTTTAATGCTCTTCAAATTTGATTGATTTGGCATTACAACTGTTTTGATTCGGGCGCCTCTGATGAGTCTTGTGTAGACGAAAAATTATAAACCTGGTATATTTGATGATATTTATATGCCCGTCGAAGACTATTATAGTTTACCATTGTACGCCTGTCCGTTTACTCTTTGTACTATAACTCAAATTTGGTTTCATCAATTCTTATGTAATTTTAACACAACATTAGGACTGACAGGCGAAAGCACCCTTTCGATTTTGAAAACTTTCGGCTGTCGTTTTAGAGTGTATGGACTTTAACAGTTGATTTAATGCAAGTTTTCACATAGCTCACACTAATTCCAGTATGCCTGGGTTGATTTCTTGAAAACTTTACATTTTTTTGGGTATGATAAAAGTAAGCTCCTTTTGATTTATACACATGCTGTACCATAACTTGTGTATGCTTGGATTGATTTACTGAAAAACTTTACACAACTGTTGGAATTGGTGAAAATAGCACATTGTTCGATTTAAACAAAAAGAAGATCCGATGTCATTTCAGAGTTATTGGATTTTGTCAGATAAATAAAAAAAAATTAAATATCATACACTAGCTCTAGTATGCTATCGTCTTCAGCCGAACAGTTTTATCATATTCACATAATTCAATTTATTGTGTGCTGGTTCATATTCTGGACGCCAGTCTTTGCTCCTTTCTAATAAAATCCACATATAGTAGTCTGTTGTTATTTATGTATTATTGTCATTTGTTTATTTTCTTTTGTTTCCTATTCTGACATCGGACTCGGACTTCTCTTAAACTGAGTTTTACTGTGCGTACCGTTGTGCGTTTGTTTTTTCTACATTGGCTAGAGGTATAGGGGGAGGGTTGAGATCTCAAAAAACATGTTTAACCCCGCCGCATTTTTGCGCCTGTCCCAAGTCAGGAGCCTCTGGCCTTTGTTAGTCTTGTATCATTTTTAATTTTAGTTTCTTGTGTATAATTTGGAGTTTAGTATGACGTCCATTATCACTAATCTAGTATACATATTTGTTAAGGGGCCAGCTGAAGGACGCCTCCGGGTGCGGGAGTTTCTCGCTGCATTGAAGACCCATTGGTGGCCTTCGGCTGTTGTCTGCTCTATGGTCGGGTTGTTGTCTCTTTGACACATTCCCCATTTCTATTCTCAATTTAATCGAATCATCTCGCACGGGGCAGGTGCACTCGACTCCAATCTTAATTGACTGTTTTCCTACCGAAGGTCGGTGGTTTTCTCTGGGTACTCCGACTTCCTTCCTCCACCAATATAAACTGACCGCCACGAAATAGTACAATAGTGTTGAAAGTGACGTTAAACATCAACCAATAAATCAAACAATCTAGTATGCTTGGTTTGAATTACTACAAACTTATATTCAACACTGTTGTTAGGATTGGTGAATATAGAATAGGTCTTGATTTTGAAAAAAATCTGGTTTGTCATTCAAGAGTCATGGGATTCGAAGCAGTCATATCTGACGCATAATTTTTACGCCTAAGGGTATCCTCATGTATGTTTCTTTCTATAGAGCTATTTTATTTGCTTCTGTTTAAATGCCTTCTACACATCATAGTTTATTTTGGCATCTATTTCAATATGCACGATAAGGGCGTATCATGCGCTCTCGGCGCAGCTGCTTATCACTCAAATCAATGCATAAGAAAGCAGATCGCAACATTTTATTTTTGTCCTACGTTATTTGTTCCAATACGAATCAAAATGAAAAATCGTGTATCACCGTCATTATGTGACAAACTATTTAATGTTTCCTGAAATTAATGAGTCTACAGCAGTATTATTTTGCCAAAAAGAGGAGGGGAAGATATACCAAGGGGACACAAGAAAACAATAACGAAAAAGACAGGACATTGCAGTTTACTCACAGACAACAGTTTAAAAGATAGGCGAAGGATACCAAAGGGACATTCAAACTCACAAGTCGACCAATAAAAAAAGACAAACACAGACAAACAACATAACACAAAACACAACATAGAAAACCAAAGCAACATCAAACTTAATGCATCTGATACATTCACTACGTTTAGTCGTGTATGGTGTCCAGCGCAGGGTTTAGCATTTGTTTCTATGTTCATTAAAGTATGTTCAAAATGAATAAATTCTTGCAAATCATGGTCGATATTTTATATGTATAATTATATGTTTGGTTTGCTTTAGGCTACATGCTCAAAAATGTTCATTTTTCTTTGTAGTTATAAAAGCTGCATAATCGTGTCATGTACAATCACATTGAATGTTAAAGAATATCCAAATCGTAGGATAAGTTAACAAATGAATAAAAACTAGCCTACTATACAATTATACGTTAGTTTTAAATTGCAGACGTCAAGTTTTCAGTAGTTTTATTCATTAGGCCCTGTAAAAGGTCAGAATGATAATTGATATAAAAAAAGAAAAAACAACACAAAAGGTAGCGATATTATCTGCTCTTTGGTCGGGTCTCTTTGACATATTCCCCATTTCCATTCTCAATTTTATAGACCATTTACTCAATTTAAGAAAAATAATTAAGTTTCAGCCCAACAATTTTTCGGAAAATGC